CTCGACGGGCCATTAATAATATACCCATATTGGACACAATTCACCTTGAAATTAACCGGCAGCCGATTGGTAAGCCTGGCCAAATTGACTTCGAAATTGACAATTTACGATCGCTCGTTCGCGCGCGAGTTTGCTCGCTCGTTCGTTTACTTTCCCGTCTCGTTTTATTCGTTTGACAGTCTATATATTCTGGCACCGCGTCGCGTTGGATCTATCAAAATATCGTTGCATTCGCGAAGGATCAAGGTTCTCTAGGTATTAAATTATATTTATCGCGATAGGATCTTTTTGTAACTGTAAATTTTTCTATCGTTGAAAAAATATATGTATCGAATAAGGCAGTATTTTTTTTTGTCTCTAGGTAAGACAACACCTCGTAAATACATTGATGGAACCAAACATAAACATTAGTTTAAGCAGTTAACTTGCGACTGAAAATCGGAAAATCAAAATTCACAGATACATATAGAGCGGTCTTGATATTTTTAATATAATTTTGAGAATATTTCACATTGCACAGCAATGTTATTTTGAAAATATTTCGCAAACTCTTTCATTTGCACTTGAGAGAAAAGATTCTTATTTCAATTCCATAGTGACTTCCCGTTACATTGACAAGATACATCGACAGGAAGGCGTTCTCTATGCACACACAATGTATACCGATTTAATGTGGCGTGCATAGGTAGGGTCACAGAATGGCACGCACGCGATATTGCTCGCACGACACACTACGCACTTCGCTCGCCTCTTCTCTAGTCCTTCTTACCGTCATCGTCGTTTCCCCATCGCTCCGAACGCGAAACACGAATGGCAAATATTTGCCTTATAATATAATCACCGTTATGCCAATAACGAGCGAGTGTAGCGCGAGGAAGAGAAAAAAGAATCGAATGGAATTCCGTTTGGTAAAATATATAACAATAATCGTAACAATGATTCGAGGAAATTAATTAACGCCATTTATCTCGATTATTCATATGCTGAATTATTTCACGCGGGAGGAGAGAACCCGAGCGCTTTTTTAATTACATAGATATAGATTGTTTTATTATTAAAAATTAATAACATAATTGCCTGGTGTGGGAAGAAAAAATGGATATTTATCTCGTTCCATTTGTTTTGAATGAAGGAAGTTTGGGCGACATAGCACACGTACGTACGCATACGGACAATGCCTCTCTCGCACATTGATCTTAACGGGAAATTATTGTGGTTTATCGTTGGAGTTTATCGTAATGGACGCATGAGCTGTCAGCTGCAGCAGGAATCGCGAGAAAACGCTCACGTTAAATTACATCGAGGTCGATTGCGCGCGGAGCATAGGAATACCGCGCTTTCCACGGAAGCGGCTGCCGCATAATTAAGACAATTAAGGTACCTACTATAAATCACACCGCGCGCTCATCTACTTAAGGCTAATATCAGATCGGCGATCTAAGCGAGTACCACTTCCACGTATACGTAAGCTAAATATGAGCGCTCCGATCTCATCATATATATATATAGATATATACTTTTTTTTTTCTTTTACTTTTTACGCTAGATTTCGCAAATTCTTCCGTTCTTCCGTTCGAATCCGCTGGTTCGATATACGTGTTAAGGCGCGGAGCAGACAATTCCACCTGCGGGATCTCCGTTCCTGCGAGTGCCCGGATCACAGAGAGACGCCCGACACCTTTCCAGCGAATTCGCATCGTGAATTCGACTCGATCGATTCGATTCGATTCGATCGGCCTCCGCGCCGCGTTTTGTTGCGCTGAGAATTTTTTGCCGCAGCACACGCAGCGCGACTGCACCGGATATACTGCACAGGAAGGAGAGGGAAGAGCAAGGGGGGAAAACGATTGAAAGAACTAAAGACTCTCCTCGGAGTCGATAGATCGTTAAACGCCCCATCGCTTACGAAAGCCATGTAATTCTTCGCGAGTCGCGATCGGTCCTTTTCTCTGTCTCCGTCTATCTCTTCCTCTTTCTCTCACGTTTATTTACCGCTCCACTCTCGCGCGTTTCGTGTTGCCCATTCTCTCTCCGCGCATTTCTCCGATCCTTTTCGTCTGTCTCTTTCCGTGAAGCGATCTTGGTTCTCCACCGTAGGTGCAACGATCATTAGGGCGGGGAACGATCGGGATCGGGGCATAGCACCTGGCTCCGATCATCGGCAACTCTTAATGCCCACACGCAATTCCGAATGAGAACCCGGCCAAGTACGATACAGAAGTGTGCACGGCCGAATCTAATCGATCGATCGCACCGCACTCCGAATAACGTACAAAACGATCGTTCGGGCGATAATTTCCAGCCGTCTAACCGTTTCGGGCCGCCCGAAGAACTGTACACTCGACGCGACTCGTTTGTGGAAAAAAAAAAAAAAAAAAAAAAAATAAGAGCGCACGGCGGATGTGTGTCTGTCTTATCCCCGGCCGTATAAATCACGCGACAAGAGTTACACACGTATATCTATAGAAGCCGAGTACATTCGATCGTTCGTTACGATTAAAACGCTCTAATTGCGGTTTACTCGTATATGTAATTCGCGCGATACGCCAAGCACTCGTAAATACTCTGGCAAGATCGTTTCGATCTTCGTGGAGGACGAACGTTCAAAGACTTCGCCATGGCCCACTTGACTCGTGTAATTATCTGAAAGTTTCATTACGATAGGAGTATTAAATTATAACAGCATTTGCATAGTCGATAATTACTTGATATTCTGCGGGAACGCAAGGACAAGTTTGAACGGAAAAAAATGGTGTCACAGATGTCAAACGTATGATGATTTGCAAAGTAATTACAATATCAATAGATGGTCGACGTGGGTAGGTGGTTAACAGCTGATTTCCGTTTCGCTCGGAGAAACGGATCAGTTATCTCAGATATGAAGCCAAACTGACGCTAGTTGAACGTTATTGCCGCAACGCGCGATTATTAGCGATCTCTTGATCCCTCTTGGTCAATGGTCTGGTGGTCCACGCCCGTCTCGTCGTTGCTCCGCCATTGTTTCGCCACGATATCCGTTGGATAATGCGGGAGATATTACGTAAATATCCGACTCGTTTGCGAGAGAAAAGGGAATTGTTCCCGTCTTTTATCAACGAGTGCTTAAAAACCCGAGTGTTTTTACGGGACGTGCGTCGCAATCACGGAGGATACATATATGCATATCGTTTCGATCCTATCGCGTCTTGGATTTCCGATCGCCAAGAGGATGCATCCCCGGATCTATGCAGTCGGCGGCTTTTCTTATTTCGCTGATCGCGCGGTACGCAAATAAATGCGCATTATGCGGAGTCTAAGCGCTCAGAAAGTGCGCTCGTGTTTTCGGTGTAACCTGAAGCTAAGCGGTTTAAGAGATCAACGCCGTATAAACCGACCGTCTGAGAATCGTCTGGGGATCCCGCGTGCGTGAGAGGAGGCAGTGAAAAAGAGATGGAACGAGAGACAAGTAGCAAGGAGAAAAAGAATATTGGCGGGACGTGAGAGAGGGCGGAAGAGGAGGGAGGTAGAACAAGATGAAAGAGAGAGAGAGAGAGAGAGAGAGGGAGAAATTCTGGGCAAACGAAGAGGCGCAAAGCGAGAGGGTAGAAAGACGGGATGAAAAATTAGATTTACAAATCTGTCTTGACTACTATGAGATTGCTCGCTTACCGGTTAGTGGTGCTCAACCTCGTCATTCCCTAACGATCCTCCCTCTCCTTCTCTCTTCGCGAAAATATAATCACGCGCAAGAATAAGAAAAAAAAATCAGCCCTGGTCTCAAAAAATGCATTTTATTTATTCTTGCTATATATAATTAAATGGAACATTTGGTATTTCGATCACGTGAAGATGCGATAGAGAAAGATTGAGAACATGGACAGTCGAGTGCTATATCGGGATTAAAGAAAGGTAACAAGTCCCCCCCATCATCCCTGATATTTCCTCGCTAAAGCAAAAGGCAGCTCTGTATGCACGTATATATTTCGTGCGTCGTGTCGCAGGATAGCGTGAATGTGTATACGCGTAGAAGCTTCGTGTATTTGATATGTATGTGTGAGCGCCTCTCTGGCGCCTACCGCCTATGAAAAATGAACCTCCCTCCAGAGCGCACCCATATCATCGCCACTATCGTACAGATTGTTTCAACGGAGATCTTTCTCGTCTGCTTCGCCGCCGACAAAGCGCGAAAGGTGCCAGTGACGCTCATCAAAAGAAAACGCCGGCCACTCGAACTTCATTTGATTAAAGCACGAGTCTATTGAGAGTGACTAGTAGATCGCAGGATCTTTTAGGAAATATGAAAATATTTTTAAATGGGTTTAAATATTTCGGAAAAATTACATATACTAGTATTTTGCTAGTAAATATTAGAAATAGAAGTTTACAATTAGTGCAAAAGATAATTTAACACAAGCACTTAATATGGTATGATGTCACGTTATTTTTCGGATAATTTTTCTCAGTCATTTTTTCTTAGTCACGTAAGAGTCTGCTCTCGAGACGTTCGCACGATCTACGTAGATTAGTCATTAACGTTTTCAAATTGGTTTCTCGGCTAGTAAGCCGGGTGTTCCTTTAATGGTTTGCGGCTTCTCTTTTCTATATATGAGATTTCTCTTCTCTTCAAATCTCGAAATCTGGAATTCGAAATAATCCCCAATAATATATTCGAGACATTAACACATTTATTAATAAAAATTCTTTTCAAGGAAATATCAGCAAACAGCCGTTAAAGCATTTTTGCATACGTGTCGTGTCACGAGGCAGTTTCGATTCGCGCGCAGCTTACAATTATCACTAATAATAACTCGCATTTTCGATTCTCCCGTTTCTCGCGATGCCCAATCAGCTGGGAAGATCGCTATCGTATATCATAAATGAATCGAGAGACTTGTTTGCGCTGATATTTTCTCCTGAACAGGTAATGGGTCGCGATGAATATCGCGACCACAACGATCGGGGTAAGACATTACCTCGATGACAGGTGTCTCTAACGACAGTAACTCTCTCTCACTGTACAGCTCCAGGCCAGGAAGACCCCCAAAGCGAGCTTCCGTTGGACTGAGCCTCGCGGCCAGCCACCTAGCTGCGGCGGCCGGCCATCATCCTCAGCATTCCCTGAAGAAGCACAGGATGGACAACGGCGATTATTACGAGAACGGACACCTCGGTGAGTACCTGCCTGAAAACATGATTTTATAAGCGCGCTTCAAAATAATGTCAAATATTTCTAATTGAAATTTTTTTGTACATGTACCTTTTCGTCGAGAGTTAGAATTTTTTATTTCTACGAAAAAAAAAATGTAGGCGCGCAAACGCGAGCGGCGTTATGCCAAATAGAGCACGTACGTGCAAATAAACGTGTGCAAGCGAGGCCCGCGCGCGCTTGATTACTGCCATCCGTACATGCGTTCCGGTATACACGGTGACCCTACCGATCAATTAATTAGGGGAATCAAACACACTTGGAGTGAGCAAATTAACTGCGACTGCACCGTCGTGTTGCGGCCTGCGGTGGCGCGGTCGCCGATACCCGGGATATCGGCATCGCGATATCGTACAATGCAATATATCCCTTTACGCGAATTGTGCATAAACCTCCTCGCGTTGTGTCTTTGCATTTCCGACGCGGGATTCCGCGAGTACAGGAAATTCCTACGTTATTCTCTCCCTCTCGATTTTTCTCCTCCCTTATCGCTCTTTACGTATCGCATTGCCGTAATTAATCAATTATGGATAATCGATATATATTTCTATTAATTATTAATAATATTTACCATTATTAATAACAACACATACACGACGGAATAATATCATAATCTCGCGCAACTTTGTTCAACCTTGCGCGATATTTATCACTCGCCAGAAGCATTCGGAAGATCGATAAATGCGCATACAATATTCATTGGTTTATTTGCGCGGACTCTTTGTGCTCCTCCATAGCGCTTTGAAGGGTGTCCGTTGGGATGCGCTTATTTCGCAGATATATTATCATCGAGGGACACACAGAGCGACAGAGAGAAAGAGAACGACAGAGAAAGAGAGAGAAACGCGCGGGCGGGTACGTTATTGCCGTCAACGTTGAGAGAAGGAAATCGTTAAATCACGTCATACGGCGGCGGCGTCGATCGACGTTCGGAAATTGTTTAAGCAAATAATCGCGAACACGCCGGCCGACCAATTTTACGGGCAAATACGTTTCACGGTGCAACGTTAATGAATTAATGCCGCGGCGCGCGCGTTCGCGCGGTCCTGCGCTTACAGCCAGTTCGCTCTCGCTCTCTCGCTCTCTCTCTCTCTCTCTCTCTCGTTGCTCTCGTCGGGGTAAATGTTGAAACGGCCGGCAATTAATTACGGCCGTGCGGTAATTGTATAATTGTTTTACGATTGGAGCCGGTAGTCCCCGCTCTTCCCTTCTCGTCGCGCAACTCGCTCGACGATTGCGCTCGATCTGTTCGCTTAAAATGTACGATCGCTTGAAATATACGATGTAATATTCCTGTGAAAGGGACAAATTAAAACACTGCGCGTCTGTCTTGATTAAGGAAATCGGGTTTAAAAGGAAGAGAGAAACGAAAAAAAATTTCGGGGATAAATAATTTTTTCAATTTTGACCGATTTTGTCACAACGCAATTAATACAATCAATGAGCGAGATCTGTGATCGCGAAACATGTCTATCTATATCTCTACGAAATTAAAAGAAAAGTAAATAACCAGGTAGGTGCCGTAAAAAAGGAAGAGAGAGAGAGAGAGACGACGAAGATGGGGGTTTCGGGCGAAAGCGTGTTGTTTCGTGATAACATCTCAGGACGGGATGAGATTGCAAGTATATCTCGCTGACATTTTACTTTCAAGTCACTTTTTCAAGACGACATAGATCCATAATTTTCAGAGAAATAGTTAACGGAATTCCGCCCTAATCGTTTAATGCATCAATCGCAGAGGTATCATTAATCAAATTGACCCGGCGCAATTTATATTACATGACCTAATGCATATATCGAATTGTTTATTAGCGCGCGAGCTAAGTCAATTATCCGGCCGGTTTGGACGAACGTGACGAACATTAGCTCAAATATGACCGAATTTGCCGTTTAATAAATAATTTCGATTTCTCCTCAAGAGCTCTCCCTCACACGTATATCGAATATAACGCGTTGCAAATATTATAATACACGTAATACCTTGCCATGAACTCGATTTCATCGGCGATGCTCGCGCATTACAACTAATACACTATGTCGACCTGTGTAATCGTTCGGTCGTTTAACGGATAGCGGCGTCTCGGTGTGGTTGCAGCGCAAATTTCGGATAGCTGCTCCAAGAGCATGCGACATGCACATCTACCCGCATATACACACATGCAAAAAAGAGAGAGAGAGGAAAGCGTGTCGCGCTCGTTGGGTGGCTGGATGGGTGGTTGGTTGGTCGGTCGGTCGGTCGGTCGGTCGGTTGGGGTGGGTTCGGCTGGACGGGCCGACCCGCGGCTTGAAACGACGGTGTACTGCCAAGCGAATGCTCATAAAAGCATTGATTAACTGTTAGCGGTCGTAGGTCAGCCGGCACACGGCTGGCTCGTGTACCAATAAAACCCGGCTAATAGTGACCCGACATCGCTTCAATATCATGCGTCGACCATCCCGAAAGCTCTCTCGTTGATTGTCCGCGACAATTTTCACGCTCGAAACGATAATCGCGTGAAAGAGTCCGCGAGATTTATCTCGTTTCGAACGGCGCGATCTTATATACGAATTGTACGCGAGATTTTTTGAAAGAAAACAAATATTCCACGGCGTGTGGATTTTTGAAATCAACGATGGTCGAAATAATAATAATGCGCTTCTGCACGTCTTCCGTTTCTATAGCTTTAAGAACTCCCTCTCGCAAATTGCTTTACGCATTTCCGGGAATCGCGCATATACAAGATTTTAATTGCTGTCGGCGCGCATGAGTACTTAATGAGCAGTTATGTTTTGTTGATGGCTCGATAAGGAGAATAGATTACTATGAACGAGTATCCCTTTCTCTACGGCGGTGTTACTTGTATATTTATAATTAGGTGTTATCATTGGTTGGCGAAGAACTTAATAACTAGCGTTGTTACTAATTTACTTGGTAATTACGAGTTAATGTTTAAAATAGTTGCGATTACATTATTAAAACCGGCCGTCTTTTTATATTTCGTATTAATTAACAAATGAAGTCTTCATATCCTACTTTTCCTTATGTAATATTTATGAACAAAATTGTTTTATATGTCAGAAGGGAAAAAAACAAAATCATCATACATAATTTCGAGAATAAAAAAGAGCATTAAATATTCCACAAGAGTAAAGCGCTGATAATGACGGAAGGATCAAGTAGGCATGTGTAACGCGTGTTTCCACAAGGTTTGTATTTAGTCCTCCTGACCGCGGATTATGGAAGCACACAAAGTTGCGGTTAATTATACCGATTGGCCAGGTAGCTGCGCGGGGTAATTAACGAATTGGGGAAATCTATCACGACTTACACGAGACGCATCGCGTCAATTTTTCGTTCTATGGAAATACGACGTCGGAATAAGTCATTGACGGATAAACAAATTTAATTTTGTAATTAAAAATTGTTTTTATAAAGATACCATTATTAGATATGACGATACTATTATTTGAAAAAAATATATTCAAGCGAAAGAAAAATTTACTTGCTCGGGGGTTAAAAATTTGTAGTAAACAATTGGAGAGAAAGAAAGGGTAATCTCGATGGCGGATCTATCATTTTTGCCTCTGCATCTCCAGAGGCCGTTTCGGTCGATTTTCTACCCCTCATTAGTTACAATCAACGTTTACTATGTTGGCACGACCGCGCTTGATTGTTTTTTACGAGAGGAAACAAGTGGACGAACTAGCGTGCACGAAAAAGCGGAGTCGCATATAGCGGAGTCTGCGCAGAGAAACGTAAAGAAAGCATCAGATAATCGATGCCAAGTAACAAAAACGCGAGCGTATTTAAATTTGCTCTTCATTTTTGTAACACCGTTACGACTTTATCGTGCATCGCATGACCGTAAATCAATCGCGTCGAGAATTTTCGCGTTTCATCGCTTTTTGCATCGCGAGGAAAGAGAGACAGCGCATAATCGTACCGCAAATGAAGACATCAACGAGGAGAGACAAAAAGAGCCGAAGGAGAGAGAAACAAAGAGAGAGAGAGGGAGAGAGAGTGAAAGAGAAAGTACAATTATTATTAATATAACGTAATATCCATTATGCGTAGCACCTGCTTCCCGAATATTGAATTGCGTCGCGTTTTTGAATCTTGATCCTTTTTACGGCGCAAAGAATGTGAATAAAATAGGCAGAAATGCGGAATCTTGTAGAAGCGCCGATTTCGTCGCGGTAAACACGTTTGCAACAATGTTTCGTACGACTTGTTGGTCGTCATTGAAAAAAAATAAAAGAGCAATCGGCGGACACGAGCGAGCGACACGTGCACGTATACACCAGCTGCGAGGACAGCCATAAAATCCATGCCGCCTCTCAAAACTGTCGCGAAATACGATGGAATTTTAGTACGACTTAATTACGACGGTCCTCGCGCGCTTGTGCTCGGTCGTCCTTTTTATTCCACGAAGATCCGGGGGCACATTTACGAGGCAGCCATTATAGAGTCTAGGATCCTCGAGAGGTCCCGTTCAGTGTCTGCCGATCGTTCGAAAATCATAATCGTACATCTTGTGTACTTTGTAGGACCTATTTTAAGCCCTTACACATCCTGTAGAGTCCCCTTTTGTACATTGTGGAAAGATTGTGGAAAAAAATATTTTCTCTGAATTTTTAATGCGATTCGTGTACGGGACGATTATACGGGGGTACGTTACACGATCGCATGATTGTGCGTTCGAAACCGCGGGGAATTTGACGCCGATAGAGGAGAGAGATCGGCGAAAGTGAAATGCTTTTTGGGCAAAGTGACGGCAATTTCCTGCGATTAAAACCGCGACTAATTGGCTCAAAAATCTGTACAATTTCCGCGCGGTCTCGCGCTGCGCCGGCCCGGTGGTTGGCGATAGCGATGGCCGAATGACGATGGTGGTGGTTGGCGGCGGTGGTGGTGGTCAACAATTTACTCGTTAGCAGGCCGACGAGTGTGCCGCGCCGCTCAATTAACTTGCGAATCAACGAGC